CAGCAACTTATTCAACGTTTTCAAAAGACCAAGCTCCCACAACATCTCAGAACTGTGGAAGTTTATGGAACTCTTCAGTGACCAAAGTTGTGACATGTTGCGCTCCAAATAGTGAATATATTTCTCTTCGTGATTGCAAGACGAATTTAGGTGCTCCAAGGATAAATAGACTTCTTTCATCCAGATCTTCTGGAGGATTGAACGGTGGTCAATGCTTGAAATCCTCCCACGAGCGTGGTCGACAATCACTTCCGACATCATTAATTGACCCACAAACCTCACCAGCTCCATCTCCTTCACTTTATGAAGAAGTACGTAATTTATTTAAGTTGTTGTGGGTCAGGTCAAAAATCTATCGTCAGTCCGACTAATCTCTTAAATACAGTTTGGTCAACTCTACCTAACTTTAAAGGGATATAAAACAACAAGATGCGCAAGAGTTTCTAAGTCTATTACTTGATCGCCTGCAGACAGAGGTACAGGGTATTCCCATGGCTGTACCAAACAACAGTTGTGATTTTTATCAATCGTGCTTTTCGTGGATATTGTGTTAGCCATGTGCGATGCTCTATTTGTCAAGTAATTGCATGTACTGAAGAACCTATATATGAACTCAGTCTTTCATTACCTACTGAATGTTATTCTGATGAATCTTGTAAATGTGATGTAGTCGATTTACTTCGACAATTTGTTAGTCCGTCTGCCATTGATGGTGCCAGCTATGCATGTGTAAAATGCAATCAGTGTTATGCTGAATTAATTAAGAAAGGGATAGAATCCACAAGATCAACGTTTAATGAGTATATTTATGATCCAAGTGATCAACCTTATCCCGGTATGTTTTATTAGCCATAGTGCTGTAATTTTTTAGTTTATTTAACTCCTACTGTCTTCATTTCGTCTTGAAATTATGATGTGGTTAATGAGTTTTAAAGTATTCATACTGTGCAAGTTGTATGTATTGTCATTGCATTTTTATCACTTGGCAGTATTTGAAGCTACAGAAGTTCATGTAGCAGGTAGAAAGATTAAAGTACCTCCAGAAGTTAGTAATTTGATATTTATGGGAAAAATGTTTTTGAAATTTGGTTTATTGGCTGGAAGTAAACTTCCATCAGCTGTACTGACGAGATAAAGTAAAAATTGAAACTTGACTAGGAGGAAACATAAACGTTCCAAGTCTCTGACTGGTTAGTTCAAGTATTGTACACTGTTGATAATTTTCAAATGCTGTAACTTATAAAGGAATAAATATGTAGGTGTTTGTGCTGATAAAGTCATACTTACTTTTAATAGTGACTTTGAAACAACCAGTTCTCTTTATGAATTTCGACAAAACAATTAAAAGACGTAATATATCTGAATCGTATAATGTATTTGCGCAACACGTTTTGAATAATCTGATCACACACGTACTTATCATAGGGATATATATATGTATATATGAAAATAAAGTCTTAGGGGGTGAGAAGGTAGGCATAGGTCAAGTTAAAAGGACACATTGAAAATCAGTGGAGATTAATTTGATGGAACATAATTTTTCAACTGCCATGGTATCAAAACCAAGTTGATCAAGGAAGGTTTATTTTGATGACAGGTTGTTTTCGAACACATTGAGGAAGTTTAAATTTTCCATTCTCTATGGCTTCCATAAACTTTGGGATACGCCCCGAACACGTTTTATAATTAGATTTAAACATTAATTTTATTATGTGTCTATGATATGTTTCGTAATAGAAGAGCTAGATCGTTTGTTTTACCATTAGTGGGTTGAGGGGATTTGATTTGTTTCTGAAGTCATTTAAAGATATCCTCTGAAGCCCTTACTTGCAAAGTTCGATTAGTCCTCCCTATGTACATTTAAACTGGTAGATACAGTGGTATGTGACATCATTTTTCGCATGTACTAAGGGCTTAGATGAATATATAAGCTCCGTATTCTCAGTTACTTGGGTCTTAGCTGCATAAAGTCTTTTTAGCCTCAGCGTTGTATCTTTGTCTAATTACCAAAGTGTTATGATCACTCATTTAGCTTGATGTATACATCCTTCTTAGTGGCGAGTTGGAAAATGGGTCTCGGTGTCCTGACCATTTTATATCTCTATATGAACTTCTCTGGATAATTATTTAATTCAATTTGAACTTTCCTGTTGATTGATTGGACCGAAGTGTTGGGTTTCTGTTGACATGTTGGATTCGACAAGCACTTCGGTCCAATCAGTCAATGGCAAAGTCCAAGTTGAATCAAATATTAACAATACCGGTTGCACAAGAGGTGGCTATCGTGACCCAAGTGGTCTAGCGGTTAACACTTTGGTATTTGAAACGATGGGTACTGGTTTCGATCCTCAGGGGATTGCAGGTATATACAGAGACTAGTCCCAAAAGAGACGAAATGCGCATCCTGGATTTCACTGCTGGTAACCGTACACCAAATCAATTCTCTGGATAATTGTTATTAACCAAAGTGTCTCTCAGTTTCCTTTCTTCATATTCCAATATGTCCTCTGTGCATATTTATTAAATCCTACTAAAGAGACACCTCACCAGAGAGTTCTTTTGTACTGAACAAGAGAGAAACTGTGGTGATTTTGATACTTTTCTGTCCAGGTAGATTTTCTGTAAATGAGTGGTTGTATTGATCCATCAGACCATTGACTAAGCGGTACGTCTATGAAGGATAAACGATCATCTTTCTCTTTTACAAACTTAAATGATGTGCTATTCTGCTCTTCATTCATCCGATCTAAAGTTGAAGCGGTAGGACTAGGATTGCCACTTATGATTAAAATGTCATTGACATATCTCCTAAAAAGTGGTACGTGTTCCGATAAATTCTCAATGTATGACATGTATGTATATAGATATCCGTTAAAAGGAGCCCCAAAGGGCTTTGCATATCAACACCATCAATCTGATGGGAACAGTCGCCTTCAAATGTAAACCTTACATTACTGGTACACATAAGTAATAAATCCTTTAATTAAAGAGGATAGAGGAAACGGGATCGGGAAATTATATGCGAAAATGTAGTCACACAAAATATGAATTGTTTTGAGTTGAGAAAATTTATATGTCGGTGATCTACACATTGGCATTATGGGACGTAGAGAATTACTGGCTTTATGTATTTTAGGTAAATCATACATATGTGGAAATTCGCATTCAAGTGGTTTTAAAGAGTCTGTTTATGACATTTAAGCCAAGAAGTTTCACTAAATTAGCTATCACTATGCCTCGTGCTTAGAAGAGTAATCTTGGCTGGATATACTTTCACATCATTTAGAATAGACAACATTCGTAGTCACTTTTTATTCATGATGACAACTTCAAACCTTTGTCAGGTTTCGTAATCGTTATATAAGGATTTTCCCTGAGTCTTTTCAAGGTTCTGAAATGCTAGGGAGTTAAAATACTTTTCTGTTTCGGATAGTCCTTAGACAACTGGTGAGCTGTATCTACCAACACCGACCTTCATCTGATGTTGGGACGAGGGGTTTAACTTGGTCATACAAGTCTTACGGATAGCTAGACCTGTAAAATGCATACGACGAACACAAAATTTTGGTCCAAGAGATAAAGCTTTCTCATGAGTGGATAGTGTATTATCCGGAAGGTTCGTAAAAAAATTTCCTGATTAATAGGGAGAAATTCGGGAGGGTTTTTATTATCAACTGAATTTTTCAGCATAGTGAGAAAATACAACCTTTTAAGTTATAAAAGACACTCATTTGTTATTAAATTATCTTTATATATTTTTTGTGTATACTTATTCTATCAAATGAGTAGTTTGTGGCTGTTATCTCGGTCATATATTTCATACGAGATCTATTCTGTGTTCCGGTGGAATATTTGTTAAGGATTGGGAGATGGGTATCTTTGAATTGCTAGCCACTGGCAGATGTTGGTTTGATCACTCTGCTGTTATCTTCGTTTGATTGAAAGACAATTGGGTAACTTCTTGGACAAGCATCATATAGTAGCAATGTAGCTGATGTTATCCATCGCCTAAAAACTATAGGGAATCAATTTTTATATCTCCACTAAAATATTTGGTCAAAGTATCTATGACACAACAAAATGCGTAGGGTGTACACTAGAAAATGTTGAGTAAAACCGTTTGGAAGATACATTTAGGTAAAACTGGTATGCTTAAAAACTGACTATTACATTCATTGACACTAAATTGTATATATGCTGGTGTTTGTCAGTGATTTTTCATGTAGAAAACTTTCGTCTCTAAAGTCCTCAGCAGTAGTTGTATCATTTTGTTTCTCTATTCTTTATTTAGTGGATAAAATGGTATCCATCGTATTGTCCAGACTGGCTTCTCCTCCCCATAGTCCTCGATCTTCTCATCCTGACTTCAGCACATCATGCGATTTGACCGAAACGTCTTCTATTTCAGAGAGCATGTTGTCGAATGCATCTAGTTTAACTTGTATTGAAGAACAATGCATTAATCCATCAGTTGAAAGATCAAGTCGTTTTCTTACTCCGCAGTCATCCGCTGTCAACTCACCGAAAAGACTCGCACTTCCTACCACAAAGAACTCATTTTTGACTCATGCAACTCAAACAATTCGCCTTTCTAAACTCCCACGTGTTTTACGGTTACACATTAAACGCTTTCGGTAAGTATTTTTCTGTTTGTCAGGTTATGTATCAGATGATTCTAGTTTTGCCGTCATTGCGCCTAACTGTTGATTTGTTTGATAAATCCCTTGTTAATAGAGATGTGGTGAGTTTCATTTTCATTGGGCTGTAGAATCAGTTTGTTACTTTACTTTCGTTAGTTGTAGTGTTTTTAGAATGTCAGGATTCTGGAAATTCTCTTGCTGCCATTGAATCTTCACTTTAGTGAGATATCACGCTACAGTAACAGTAAAGAATAGACCCTAAGGTCAAGGGATCTTGAACCAACCAATCAAATCTCTCAGAGTTACAAATGAATGTTTTCGTAATCTTCGTTACACGTTTCGTCCTGTTAGGGTGGGTTTTATGTAGGGTTATGGTTAAGGTTAGAGTGAATCTTGCAACGAAAATGAGGATAAGCATCCATTTGTGTTATTGAGCGATCTGATTGGTCGTTTCAAGGTCGTTTGACTTTGATGTCTATTCTTTCCTGTTGCCCACTATGCTTTGTGGTTTTAATTGTCTGTGTGTATTAAAATCAAGTGTTAAATCATGCGTGTTATGTCAGAGATGTAGTTCATCCACAAGTCAGTAGTGGTAACAAGAACAAAATGGAGTTACTCGCAAAATTTAGAGCGTTTATACCAAAAAAGTAGGATTAATTCTCGGGATGGTGCATAAATAAGTTTATCACTGAAATAATAAGGATACTACCCACAAACTGTTTGTGGATTCACAAGTACACGCAAAGATATGGATCAAGGAAACTTCAGTTGAACTAACTGCTCTCTCCTGATGGGTATCTTTCGTATAATACAAGTCAGTAGGCGTTGGTGGCACTGCGGTTAAGATTCTCGCCGACCATGCACATGGTCCAGGGTTCGATCCCCTGTCGACCCACACCTGATACCAGTGGTCGGCCTGCAAAATTTGGGCTACTGATATCACATGCTGAAAGTTCCATACTTGTACCGAAAATACGGTGTGGAATCAAGCTATAATCAAAATAAAATAGTATAGTGACAGATCCTAGAACATAGACACACTTTTAGGCGTCCGACAATTGCCATATTTCTTGACTTGAAGGCGGCCTTTGACTCCGTGGATCAAAAGGTACTATGGCAATGTTTGACTGTGAAGGGAGTGCCAAGAAAGTACATTGCACTAATCAAGGCACTCTACTCAAACTCACGTAGCTGTGTAAGGGCTTATGGGGAATTGTCATCTGAATTGATAACAACCAGTGGTGTCCGTCAAGGATGTCCACTTTCCCCTTTTCTGTTTAACTTCATCATAGATATGCTAATGGAAGTATCCTTAACTGTACTTAACGACTTAGGAATCGACTTGCTACCAGGGAATAGTCTTATAGACTTAGAATACGCAGACGACATAGTCCTGTTAGGGGAGGACGCTGACAAAATGCAGAGTCTTCTAAACACCTTGATCAGCAATCTTTGTATGTTTGGCATGCGATTCGCCCCTGTAAAATGTAAGATGCTGCTACAGGACTGGACTACGTCAACTCCTAGCTTAGTGATAGGGAGTGAAGTGATAGAACATGTTGACCACTTCACCTATTTGGGAAGTTGTATCAGCACCAACGGATTGATTCGTGACGAAATCTCAGCACGGATCCAAAAAGCTCCGGCTGCTTTCGCTAACTTACACCGTCTCTGGTGTACGCGTGACATCCGGCTATCAACCAAGGGACGTGTATACTGCTCAGCAGTTCGCTCCGTCCTTCTCTATGGTAGTGAGACGTGGCCATTGAGAGCGGAAGACATGAAGAGATTGTCTGTTTTTGACCACAGATGTTTACGATCTCTTTCTCGCGTTAGGTGGCATAATAAGGTGAGTAATGTTGACGTTAGGCGTAGAGTGTTGGGCAAAGAGGGAAAATCACTCGAAGAGGCTATGAAGTTACATAGATTGAGATGGCTAGGTCACGTGCTGCGCATGCCTAGCCATCGCCTCCCCCGACAGGCATTACTAGCTGATATAGGTGCAGGTTGGAAAAGAGTAAGTGGTGGCCAAACAAAAACATGGTATCAATCCATGAAATCCCTGACAGTTAAACTGAGTCAGGAGGGAGGGAGATGCAGACTTCCGGGTTGGGGCCCGCCCTCGGGACTCTAAGAATCAATGGCTGGAGACAATAGGTGACATGGCTCAAAATCGTTGTCAGTGGCGCAGATGTATTCAGTCTCTTTAACCTTTCATATTCCTTTCTACCATTACTCATTCTGTTTCACTCTTATACTTATCTAAATTCTATTGATTCTCTTCTCTCATTTTCCTGTCTACCTTTGTGTGCTCTTTGGAACGTGGCAACTCGAACTGCTGCACCTCGGTGCCAAGTTCTATGTTGAATCCAGCAGCAGCAGCAACACTGGAAGTATGACTTGATGCTACTTAAAGATCCATGAGTGACACAAAAGGAACCGACAAGCACAGTTATCGTGTTATTTCACTGTCACTTTAGGCCCATAATGTTTACGCTGTCTGGTTATTTAACTGTCGCAGACTATCTTATTCCTTTAAAGTGATGTTCTCAAACGTAATTTCACATGTGTTTGGACAATTACTGTTGCAGCTTAGTATTGACTGTTGTGTGTTTTGCGAAAATCCTGTAGACATCTCCGACAGGCCCACTTTAGATTAAAATGACATTGTTTTCTCTCCTCTTTCAAAGTGACAATTAAAAAGTTATTCAAACTCATAAATTATTATCAAACACTAACTTTGCAAATCCTGTCATTCACACTATTGTTGATTACCAGTTCACCTTTAGTGTCTGCCGATATTCATTTTCTGAATATTCTGAGGGCATTGCTCACTTTTTCTCATACTAATAGTATTGAGTCATTCATGCTATTATATTAATTTTCGCAACGTGATACACCTATTTTATCTTTCTCTCTCTGTATACCTCAAGTCATTTTAATTGTTTTCTGATATTTTAGATGGGTTGGAAGACAAAGGGAAAAATTAACATGTCACGTATCATTTCCACTTATTTTAAATATGGCTGAATTTATGCTAAGTGATGCTAACAGAGAGGAATGTGGCCAGTCTCACTTACACGACAAATTACACCGAACAATTTCCCAACGCATACAAGAACAAATGGGCTCCACTGAAAGTATACAAGGTCATAGTTCATCTTCTTCCAGTTTTACTAAAGAGGAGTACCAGAAATCCTCACCTCAGTATTTGTATCACTTAACTGGTGTTGTTGTACATCATGGGCGAGGATTTCAATCCGGTCACTACACTGCCTATTGTTTGAATGATGAACCTGGTGAGTTAATAATTCCACCCATTTTTCATGTCATTCCAGATTTCAAGACACTCATAAGTTGAAGTAGTGCGTAGAAATTAATCACTTCTGGAATTTTTAAAAATTATTATTATTATTAAGATGAAAGTAAAAATCTTGCTGTAAATCCACTGAATAGATTGCATATTATCCTGTTGTAATTATTCTTACTCTATTCAAATTTATGAATGATGGAAATAGTGTCGGAGTGGTTGAGTGCTAGTTATATTTCAGCTGGAAAGAGATGTACATGACAAAAGTTATAGTGCGGGGTGTGTTACTGATAAGATTTATCAGTAGTATATAAAAACACATTTATCGGCATCAAAATATCAAACAGCGGATAGATAGATTTGAAGTCAAAGTGAGGAAATGAACCAGCGTTGCGGCAAAACATGGGAGACACGAAAAGAAGACTAAGAAACACAATAGGAAGGGCAGAAGTACCACATCACAAGGGAAGATCTGTACAAATGATGATTTGCAGATAAGGTGTACGTAATTTTGCTATACGGAGATACCTAATTCGAAATAAAGTCTCTCATCTTCTACTGTTACAATACGAAGCCAGAATAATGAGTCAGTAAATAGTTTTGGTTGCTTATTTGTTTCCATTACAAAAAATGCGTTCAGGATGGGTGTATCCAGTCACGCAAGTTAAAATAGTTGGAGTGGCATTTGGATGCGGCATCCATTGGGTGACAGTCGAGTGCTTAAGTCAATGAGCCGAATCTGCGCTTTATTGTCTGTCTACATTGGATTCATTTCGTTTGTTCAGCGACCTGTTTCTATATCTACATAACCACAAACAAATTTGTAATGTTAGCACCTTTTTACAAGTCACTTTTCACTAAGAATTTATATACATAAAATTTAATTATCACCTATCACTTAGCTAGAATAAAAAAGCACCGAGAATATATTTTATATAAAATATTCAAACTCCGTTCATTGTAAAATACTGCGTAAGGTGTTTCAGGTTTCCAAAAGACTAGGAAGTGTAAGAAGGATTGGAGTCATGTTCAAGTTATGTGGTAAGTAGAAATAAAGCCCTATGTAGGAAATTGATCTTGTTAATCGTGTTTATGTAGGTATCTTCAGAAAATTGTATACTATTCGTGGATAGGTATATATATTATATAAACTTCTTTAAGCAATTTGTACAGTTAATGTTTTGGATATGTTTTTATTCTCATATTTTCTGAATACTAGAGTGTTGGTTACATTGCAATGATGCCAATGTGTCGTTATGTGACTTCTCAGAAGTAGCTGCAGCACAAGCCTACCTTCTTTTCTATTCAGAACTTATGCCTCGGACTCCTCTTCCTAATTGGTATAAAAAACATACAGTTTCCGAAAGTTTATCAAACACTATTCCCTGTTCTACTTCACAACCAGATATACCAAATATTCATTCTGTATATTCATCATCCTCTGACAATTATGAAAAAGCATCAAAGATGTGTTCACCAGGTTGTTGAACGTTTGTTTACCTGATGACAGGTAGTATGCATTTATAAATTACTTGTCTACCGCTCAGGTATTTATTGTAAATTCGCCCTCTTTCAGTTTTCTATGTTCAGAATCCTTTGTATGCAAACATCAGCATACATGTGTATTTGTCTAGTCCAGTTTCCAGAATTGCATTTGCTTCTTTTTTTCAATTGTTTTAATTTCAATGTAAATTACTGTTTGCACCTATCAAAACGACAATATGTTTCCTTCTATTTTTTTCATGACATATACGTATACTATTAGTATTATTTCAATTTACCAGTTGTACAAAACGCATCAAGTTGGCGAAAATTCTATTCTCTGATTTTATTGTTTATAAGTTGGCTTTTAATATTCAGTCAAACTTCAATTTGTTCTCTGTGCAATATTTACTGAAAATGGTCGCATTATTAATTATAATTTGAACAGTGTTCTAACTCATGATATTTATTAGTGATAATGACCAGTGTGTTTTTTTTATGAATCATAACACACGATAACCACACAATTCTCGTTTATTTCATTTTCATATTACAATTATCATTATTATTATTATTATCAGCTTTTGTTGCATTTGTTACTATTATTTTTTTAAAAATTGATTGATGTTGTTATTTTCCCTACTGTGTTTCCTTCCGTGTTTAGGTCACGTACATTCCTTTTTCTTTTCTTTTTTTCCTTCCCTGTTTTAACTGCCTACGTCTTTTTTTCTTCTTCAATGAAATTGTTTGTTTTCATTGTTTATGTAATGATGTGTGTGCATTGACAACCTGTTGTGTTTGACTTTCATCGAATCAATAATTTCAATAAAATTCCCGTGTATGACCTAAAAACGTTTTTAGTTCTTTTTATAGGCTAGACGTATGCAAAAAGAGTCTGATTATCGGATGGATGGGTGGATGGATCAGGCTCTTTCTTTAAACTAACTTTATAAAATGGTCTAGTCTGATATTGTTCATCAATAGGTCATCATCATCATCATCAATGGTGGTGGTATCCTATCTATCCAACTTTAACATTCCTTCTTATATTGGAATTTATTGACTAGATACTTTTGGGTGCAGTTTGGTATATTTACTGATTGTTATTAAAACTTTAGTTTCTATTACTTTTAAATAACTCAACATTATTTAATAAATCGAAATATTTTTTATTTAATATGTACTAGGTATTCTTTAAACTTATTATTTTGTTGTCGAATATACCAGATTGATCACTGACATTTGATGAACTCTTTTTAAATAACTTGGATTGGAATAAAACACATTTTTTTAAAATTCTAGCTTGATTCCACACCGTATTTTTGGTACAAGTATGGAATTTTCAGCATGTGATATCGGTAGCCCAAATTTTGCAGGCCGACCATTGGTGTCAGGTGTGCGTCGGCAGGGGATTGGACCATGTGCATGGTCGGCGAGAGTTGTAACCGCTGTGTTCGTTAGTGTCTGGTAGTAGGATTCAGTAAATGCGTCTATCTTGAATTAGTTGTGTTTTCTCTGAGCTGGTTGATTTAATTACGAAGCTTTCGTCGTCCTTCTAGACAACATTTTCAGTGCAGGTTTTACCCACAAAAGAAACTGTGTGCAGACATTGTTTAAAAGAGTTCAAACATATTGTAGTACTCCAGTGTTGAAGAGAATGGAGGAAAAATACCTACTATAACCGTCTTCAAAAAGAATGGATATCCCTACAATTTCATCAAAAAAGTGTTTAAGCTCGAGTCATAACACCAACAAGAAACCATCACAAAAGAACACAAGGAAATTCATTCTACCATATTAAAAAAATATCTCTGAAATAACAACTAGAATATTAGGACCGTTTGAAATAGATATAGTACACAATCTAGCCAGCGCAATCATTTTTTTAATTCGATATTGTGCAAACAGTAAAATCTAACAGGAAAAAAAGATAAAATTAGTACCATTTACAAAATAAATCGTATGAACTGTAACAGACACTACATTGGTCAAAGTGGGCGTTCCCTTCTAATTCGAATCCAAGCAGACAAATTAACTGTAAAAGGGCACGACACATATTCTTTCGTATCAATGCATGCAGATCATTACTAACACCAATTTGATTGGGATAATGTAGGAATTTTAGGTAGAGAAAACACCTAAAGTAATACCAGGGAATTTTCGGAAGGCTGGTACTCAAATGAATTAGCAATTAACAAACATATTACTACTGGCCAAATTTACTAGTTAATAAAAAGTAAATCACATGACAAGGAAGTACAATTTCTAAGTCAATAGAAATGATCAATTGAGACGTAAATCGACAATGGTAGCCAGGAGACAAAATTATATAATTTATGGAGAGCTCAAATGAGTTCATTTTGTGCTCAAGATGTTCTCTAGAAGCATGACAAAGGCTTTAAAATTAAATCAATCAACCCAGAGAATACAAGTGAATCAAAATCATCCACCTGAGCAACAAATCTCCATTATTTCAAAATGCGTTTATACTATAGAGATTAAAATTAAAGTTTACAAAAATAAAATATTCAGTGCCTTTGGGATCAACCACTTTTAGAAAACAAGTTTCATCAAATATTCATAATTATAGCAACTTATTTTCTACATCTAAAGCTCAGATTCATTCACATATAGATATTATAACCTTAAGTTTCGAAATAAAAGTAAGCAGAAGAGCACTTGTTTTTAAAAAATAAGAAACATTATTTGAACTGGATAACAACATTGGAGTATACTGGTTATTGATTGATCAGATCGTTTATGTATTCGAATAACAACTTGTTAGTTATTGCATAGATTATTAGATTAAGCGCTTCGTATTTCAAATTGTACACATAGCTCCTGTTTCTTAACCTATTTGACTACACTATTTTTCCATATTAGATGAATTTATTTGAACTAACACACAGTAATGCAGTATTAAATAATATTAAAATAATATATATAAATAATGATATTACTGTGGTGAGAGCTGTCTACTAGCCAAATTGGTAGACAGTAATTGACGTCAATATTTACGTTCCCAAGATTTGTCGTGAGAAAATGTGAACAAAGATTGATTCAAAACCGACCACAGCAGACTTTGCGTAGGCGGATGCAGTTAACATATAGAGGATTTGACATTCAAGAAACAGTCACAAATAGATGAAAGATTAACTTTACGTGAGAAACAACCAATCGGAAGACAGTGTTTGTTTGCTTAAATATCCATAGTAATGTACATGAAAATATATAAATATGCGTTGATTTCCTTAATAAATGATCTGTTGCCTGACCCTTGCCTTCTGTTGTTACATTACTACTAATATTAATATTCAACCACAGTGCTTAAGATCTACGGTTGCATTATATTACTTTTCATTGTGAAATTTAAAATACTACCACACTCCTTTTGTACTATGGCTTTCCTTTCTACTTTTCCCACCTTTTCTGAATGCTTGGCTCACATTGATTATTGACTCTTTAAATTTGTTGACGATTTAAATGTTGGTCAAGGTCACAATGATTGCATGTACTCAGAGTTGTTCTCTTCCACTTCTGTTGTTTGTTGACGAGACAGTTAAAACTCTCTCACAGTGACCAAGTTTTTTTCCTGTTTCCAAGCGGTATTACCATGCGTGTCATATTCCTTCTCTAAGTAGATGCTGTCCATCTATACTCGTTCGGCCACGTAGATAATATAACGTTACGTTGTTTAATCTGTAATGTGTAATGTCGAGGAATTTTATCATTTCATTTGGAAACAAAAGTGAACTACCTGCGTATGTGATGAATTTTCGTAAGTGGATGACTTAACAACACAACTTTTCAAAATAATACTTATGGAAATTTAAACGTCTATATAATGTACTATTCAGCTTAATTATTGACGGGTGAGTACAATTAAATAAAGAATAATTTTCAAGAGTTAGCTTGTAGGGATTTGGTTTGTTTCAATTTTTTTTCCTTCACGTTCCCCAGTGGAACATAGGGCTTCAAGCTAGAGGCTTGAAGTTTCTGTAGCAGTGTTTATTTTACAGGATGGAGTTGCTAGCCTCATGCCCAACCTTTCCTCTTCACCAGCATTATTTCTGGTTTAGCGAGGTAAAGAAGTGCGTCGGCCGGGGATCGAACCCCGGACCATGTGCATGGTCGGTGAGCGTCCTAACCACTATGCCACCGACGCACGGTTTGTTTCAAGTTTGATATCAATTAGAGAACCATTGAGCTTGACTTGCAATCGGAGAGTCCTGGGTTTGAACCCCAGTGGATGCGCACCGCCGCACTAGGGCGAAACAGATGTCCAGTACTCCATAGTTTTCAGTGGTTCTCTAACTGAAATAAATGAAGGATGTTTGAGTAATATATTCCGTTGCATTTTATTACAGTAGTCTTGTTTATCGCAAAGAACAGTTGAAATTCCAAATAGTATAATTTGGCGTTTGTGTGAGCAAAGACTTTTTTCGGGAATTATAGTTGAACCACTACTAATGACATGAGAAACTAAGTTGACCTACAGTGTCTAGTGTTAAAATACAGTCAGCTTGAAAATGTTAGCTGGAGATGGCTATTTATCATCCATTCAAGTTTCAAATAAGATTTTGAGGACATCTCTGTTTGAGAAAAAGTGTGAAAGCACATTGTTTTATACGATCTCAAAAACATTTCCACTATCAAGGGATGCACGCATTGTTAGTACTCATCAAAGAACGGCAGTGTGGCCATTGCCCTTGTCATCTGGATGCAATCTGACATCTTCATAAATCTGTTTTTCATAAATTCAGATTATTCTGTGAATTTCGATGATAATTTCCTTGATCACTAAGATGAAAAGTGAAGCTGACATGCTGAACTATGATCGCTGCATAATTAATGGCCTGAAACATACCGATAGTTCAACATTCGGCCTGATTATGATTCGCTGCATTTATTGTATTACGTTCAAGTTTTAGTTAATTTATATTTGACTGTAATATGCTTATCATTTTTTCTAAACAACTTCGCAGTACTTAGCGTCCTAAACATTACTGAACCACCGTTTCCTATGATACCGTTAACTCAGGAAACAACTAGAAGTAAGAATATGGAGCGCCTATTGCTACGAAATTCTAAACAAGCAAATAGCGATTCCATTATTCACCAACAGTACACACATAAAGAAATATGTTTTTCAAGTTTATTGTTAAAGTAATCAGTGCACACAAAAGAGGATGCGTAATACAAGCTATTACTGATTAGGTGCTGAGTAATTAACAAAGCTTGCCAGCCACACACTTGGTCCGGCTTCGATTCCCGACCGACCCACTTCTAAACCGCCTAGTTTACTAGTCTATAGTAAGTCCGAAAAAGAGGGAAGGTTGTGTGTGTGAGATTAGCAACTCTTCCCCGTGTAGAAACACTGCTACTGAAACTCCAAAACTTAAAGCCTTATGTTCCGTTCGGGACTCAAAAGAACGAAAAAATTTCTCGACAAGCATTTATAACGTAATGAACCATGGATTTCACAGCATGTTAAATAAATAAAGGCAACTTAATTTCATCTTACGCTGACGTAAGTTTATTCAACAGTTATATTATGAGAAGAGGCTAGAAAGTAATTTTATTCCTGAATTCTTTTTTAACGTCTACATTTATCTGATACAAAATGGATTTTAAAGAGACACGGTGTGTGGTTAAGCTAGATAAAACAAAATAAAAATCAGGCTTTGCTAAATTCTTCCTAAGATTTGCTTTTCACTTTTGCTTATATTAAATATAAAGTTTTGAGTGGTCATCGAAGGAAAAGGAACGATTGCTTATCTGTCGATGCGTTGTTTTTTCCAATTATTGCCAAGCGACAAGAAAGAAAATCTAACTTTGCTATCCATCTTCGTATTTGTGTGGTGAAACAGACTGATCAAATAAGGTAGGTTTCATCACATACGGGAAACCATGAAGCAGCGGATCGGTCGTTTCATTCCCTACTTTGAGGTAAAATAAAGATTGTTTTGTATTAGATGGTTGGAGGCAATCGGCAGGAAGCCTTGGACCTAGGTTTCGTGCTAGTTGGCACTCATCAGCAAGGTGTATCTGCAACCTTGAAGGAACTCATGTCCTTCTGAGATTCAACC